TGTGAGTATAAAGAGCATTTATTAATCAATGGAATTAAAAACAGCAAAACAAATTCACAAATAAAATCATTTAATTCGCATTAATCATTTTATTCAGTGAGCGAGTATAAAGAACATTTATTAATCAATGGAATTAAAAACAATAAAACATGTTCACAAATAATGAACATAAATACTTATTTATTCTTATGTTTAAATTCATTTCATTCGCAATAATGTATAATTATATTTATTTATTACATCATAGTTACTTCAGTATTTATTACATTCAATTCTAGCAACGAATGTCACACTAACCAAATCGCTTACCAATAATACTATCCCTTTATTCTAACGTGTACCCTAACCCTAACCTCTAGCCCGTGTACCCATTAAACTCTAAGCTAGACATTATTATGTTACCCACCACTATTGTCGTAGAGGTATGTCAACAAAGAAGCCCACTGCTTTAGTCTTATACCGTTAGTCATTATTCAAGAAATATAAGATCTAATATTAATTATAAGAACACAACCAAATGCCAAGAAGCGACATCGGAACCGGCAATACGCTCACAAATAGTAATACCGAAGATGGCAACACCAACAAAAGTGGCAAAAGCAAAAAAAATTATATAACACCAATTGAAAACTCCATCGACAATGCCATCAAATAATAATACCGACGAAAGAGAAGCACCAACAGACACCAAGGCATCAGAAGAAGCGACGTATAAAAAAAAAATGACGAACTAGATTAGTAAAGAGAAAAGAAAAACAGCATAAAAAAACTGATTTATACCAGTTCATCCCATATCGCCAGTTCTGCTTAAAAATAAAAGTATATCTAAAAGTAAAATAAAGGTGAGCATTTGTTGGTTGGTTATCCAGGTCACACCACGTGGAGGTCAATACTCAAGTAACCCGTATACTACACTTTGGTGGATTTGGAATTAAGGAATAACAAGAGTGGAAGAGAGTGGAAGTATATGCTAAAAAAAGAAATAACAAGGGCAAGACATTACAAAATTAATGATAGAGGAATGATGATAAAAAAAGGAATAGCGATAGTTGAAGCAGTAAAAGAAAAGAACAAAAGAATGACAATAGTTGAAGCAGAATTAATGAAAGATAAAATAGTTGTTATACTTAGAAGGTTTGATTGGAGTTTGGGTTTTAATATTAAAGGTGAGATTAAGTAAAGTTTGAGGGAGTCAGGTTTTAGTTGTAAGAATAATCGGATGAATTTCAGATAAATTTGCTTCTTCTATTGCACCAGGAGAAAATTTATTTCCAACAACAATTTTCACTACATGCCTTTCTAAGCAAGTTACTCCTCTTAGGGCTCTTACAACTTCTGGCCCTATAATTAATCAATCAATTAATAGCAAAAATTTATAAATAAACAAACACAATATCTATCTATTTTGTTGGTCCAATTTTTACATTGAAACGAAACTTTTCTACCTTTAATTCTGGTACTAATATCGACTTTACCATCTCCCCTACGACTATTATTGAAAATAAAGTAAGTATTTATATTATAGTTATTAACAACTAAATATCGCACGGCCGGAATAGTTAACAGTGACGCGCTCATTAGCTAGCATATATCCTATTCATCCATTAATTCCCGTGTACCACACAACCGCAAGAACACCAAGTAACTGAGAAAAAGAACGTTCTATGTTGAAACATAGGCCACGAAGAGCTTTTAATTTTTTCTCAGATATTTTACACCGGTGGGACAGTGTAACTTCAGATATATGATAACTTAACAAATACTTAGTGAGAAAACCTACCCTATGTGAATAACTTCGAATCCTGTATCTCTAAGGATTGAGAGGATATCTCATTCAAGTATATTTCCCCACATGGTGAGAAAGTACCGTATATGGACAGAGACGGCGACAGATTCTGACATTTTTTTTAAAAAAAAAAGCTTTTGTGTAAATGTTTTTGATTTTTAAATTTTGGTTAAAGATGAGATTCATAAAGTAAAGATAACACGTATCTTTTATTTCACTCCCTTTGCTTAGGAACTTCATTTTTCAAAGAAAACATGCAAAAAAAAAAAAATTTTTTAACTGATATATATAATTCTGGTTATACGCTTTATTTCTGTATTTAGAAATTGAACATACCAAATTAGGCTAATAAGCTCATGATACGTACAGCTCTGGAATGACCATACTGTACATATCCACCATCAATGCTAGAAGGTATGATACGATAAGATTAAGGTTTGGAAAAATATGAAGTTCTGCAATAACCAATTGTGATCTTAAAAACCAATTTAAACAGCTATCCGGACAATTAATACGTATGACCAGTGATACGCATTTTATTAATGAAACGTTACATTCTCATCAAAAAGTATAAATTTGTTATCAAGATTAATTCCAATCATATGAAAGTCTCCTAGCTTATATACGCATGACATATTTTTTATAAATAACGATAACTTTTGCTAAGCCATTGCCAAATTAATAACTTAATTTTCAATTGTAATAATTGAATTTGATTGGATAATTAAAATTTGTCGCACTTTTTACAGTACAGCAGTACACGATACTGTACATAACGATAATAACGAATAAAGTCTATAGACCTCAACCAGTAAACCTTATCTTCTATCATGTATACCTTATTGAGTGGCTTTCACAAATACCTTACGCGTAGAGAGGAATTTTATATTGTCATACTTGGACTTGATAATGCCGGTAAAACGGTAAATGATTAGCTATTTGCACAATTTAGCCTCTTCAACGTATAGAAATAGAAATGTCGGTCTAACGATTAAAATTTGGTTGTAGACACTATTAGAGCGTATCAAGTCTATATTTCTTGGAGTTATGGGCCTTTCGCCCGATAGGATTGCACCAACAGTAGGTTTAAATAGTATGTTTATCCTTTCTTTTTTTTCTTTTTTTAGTGTTTGAAAATTTCAAATCATATGACTATATCCACAACTAATTCTTTCCTTTAATTTTACAAAAAAAGTTGGAAAAATAGATGTAAACAGATCACGATTAAATTTTTGGGATTTGGGAGGGCAACGTGAACTACATGGTATTTGGGAAAAATATTATTCTGAATGCCATGCCATCATATTTGTTGTTGATTCAACTGATAAAGAACGAATCGAAGAATGTAAAGAAACTTTTGGTAGATTGATCTAAAAAATTCTTTATAAAAAAATAATCGTATTTTTTTATTATTATTTTTTTAATTGGTGATTGTTTTACGATAGAAAAAATAATTACAAATGAAGAAGTTGAAGGAGTCCCAGTATTGATGCTAGCAAATAAGCAGGATTTACCAAATTCTTTAAAAGTTGAAGAAATTAAAGAAGTTTTCAATAAAATTGCGCTAAAATTAGGAGCAAGAGATTCTAGAGTATTACCAATATCGGCTTTAGAAGGGTAAGTAATTGATTTAATAGTTATTATTTATACTTAGAATTCGAATTTAGTTTTATTAATTTTTTTTTTCTTTTAGGGAAGGTGTGCGTGAAGCAATAGATTGGTTATGTTTAAGATTACAGCGTAATAAGCAAAATAGGCCACCAATATTCAAATGAATATTTATTATTATAGCTAGGAAATAAAATACACATTTATATTTAATGTTTAGGTTGGACAGAATGTATAATTATTCTAATTTGTATCATACTGTGACACATTCATCCCTTTCTTTAGTAATAGATATGGCATTGTATTTTAGAATATTTAGAACCACACTACATTAAAGTAAAATAGAAATAAAGATCGTTTATAATATATATGTAATAAATTCTTATTTAAATAGTTTCTTAACTTATTTGAGTAAATATAAGATAAAAAGAGCTAGAATTGTCAGAACAATCTTCTCTATCCAATATTTAAACCAATATTCCAAAAATTAATAATTAAAAATTTAAAATTCTGTCAAAGTTAAACTCTTTGAAATATCGGTAGATTCTACTATTGAACAAAATTCCTCAAAAGAAATTTTTCCGTCCATATCTTTATCAGCTTCCATGATTGTCTTATCAACAATTTGTTGAAGCTGATTGTCTTTGAGGTTATTTCCAACCATCATTTTTAGGACAAGAAACAATTCTCCATTTGAAATATAACCATCTCTGTCCATATCGTATACTTTGAAAGCGACTATATACATAAGAAAAAGTTAATAATAAATATAAATAAAATATAAATAAAATATAAATAAAATAAAAATTTGACGCTCACAATGCAATTTTTCTTCTTTATTTCCTTTCGCACTGAAGGCACTCAATCCAGAAATGAATTCTTCAAAATCTACATCACCACCACCATCCTCATCAAATATAGCAATCATTCTTGATGCTAATGGATTATTTGCAATCTGTGGAATCGAAAGAAATTCTTCTCGGTCAATAGAACCCGAACAATCTTTATCGAGCTTCATAAACCTTTTATAAAGCCTTTTGATTTCTTCTTCGGTAACTATTAAGTAATTAATAAAAAAAATATTAAATAATTATTATAGTCGAATAAATATCTGTCTTTGAATTTTACCAGAAACACATTTGACGTTACAAATAAATTCTAGAGTTACAATTGCTATTGTCAACCATAGCTTGTAATGGTCGTGACTCGTTTTGTCCCATTTCTCGATTAAATCTAAACCTCTTTTTTCGCACTATTTAAAATAAAAATAAAATTTTATATTAACGGTTAATCTGACATCGGTTGATGATTACCAGCTAGCAAAGTCTGTTTTATGGTGAAAAACAGTTGCTAGGCTAAGAACATCGAGTAACCTTCGAATTTAAACATCACTACTTACCTTTTGACTACAAAGGTCAAATCACGAAACTTAGCGTAAAATTAACTACTAACTACCACTACTACAGTACTACAGGAATTATAAAGTATGCACGAACATCACGAGATGTTACAATTTAATCTACTTATATACTAAATAAAGTAACTTGTTCTACCAATGCTTAAAGGAATTCGGGTAAAAAAAAAAAGGGTCGAATTCGAACGCCTCAGTGCTTCACGTTGGAAATTTACTTGCATAACCACGTGAGTGCCTCAACTTTTAACTCATGTTGGTCCCTCAGAATTCATATAATATTTTCAAAGACCAGATTTTAATAGATTTATTGATATAGAACCAATCGAAAAGTAATTGCTATTAGTACATTACTTTTCATGTCTTCAATCGAAACAAATAATGGTAAAGGTTTTCCTTCCGCAAAACAGTTTCGACGGAGGCTGTCTTTTCGAAATAAGCCAACTCCAGTTCCGGAACCAATATCTATAAATGGCCTCAATTCAGTGCGAGGGAGCATAAGACGTTTTCGTCGTGTTTCTGGAAGTGTTTCAAGTGCGCAAACTTCCTCAGATTCAACAACAGATCCCACAAATATCAACCAATCAGCCTCTAATTCACAGTCACCAACATTTCCATCCTTTCCCCGTCTTTACAATATAGCATCTATTGCCCGTGAATTCAAAGAAATAAATCTTTCACAAAAGACTGCTGACTTAACAGCTGCTGTTACGGAAATGGGTGTTGAATTGGGCAAAAAAGGCGCAGAATTGAGCAGTATGGCTAAGGATGTTGTCAAGGATGCTGTCGTTGATCGATGGAAAAAACGAAAAGAAGGTGTGTTTTAATATCAAGGGCAAAAAAAAAGAACAGTGGTAATGCTTAAAGATCTGTGCTCTGGGATCATCGAGTATTACATGCTTATTTACACTATTCACCAACTCGTTAATTTTACAATTTTACTATTCTTAGATTCTTCGTCAAATAATCTTCTTAACACCAAAAGATTTGTATCTAGAGAGAACATTTTTGGTGCACCGCTTAAAATTGCTGTCACTTTAACACGTGTTGAAAAAGATATGAAACAAATTTACAAAGATCCATCTAGGTATTGGGTACCAGCATTAGTTCTAAGATGTATAGAATTTTTAGATATTCATGGTATTGATTTTTTTTTTTTTAATCGCAATCGTTATAATTTATCTTGTTATATGAGAACAATTTATTAATATTTACCGTTTTTAGGTTTAGAAGAAGTTGGTATTTATCGGTATGTTTTTATTGATGATAATATGTCGTTAATTTAATGTAGTATATTACTAATTGATAATTTTAATACTTAGAATACCGGGAAGTATGTCTGCAGTGCAACGCATGCGTGGTATTTTCAATTCTGGTATGTACTAAATTGGTTATTATTCATATTTATTTGAATAAAAAGATCTATTCATTCATAATAAATTGCGTTATTATTATTATAGGGTTGGATTTAAATTTTTTACAAAGTTCTAGGGAAGATCCACACGTAGTAGCAACACTCTTAAAAATGTATCTGCGCGAATGTATGTGATAAGAAATAATTATGGATTATATTTTGAAATATATTATTATTATTATTATTTTCTGAGCATAATAAATTAATTTATTATGATTATTCTATAGTACCAGAACCTATATTGACAGAGGAACTTTTACCAGACTTTGGCGCATGTGTAGCAAAGCATACCAACTCTGATTTAAATGCTATACCACCAGCAATTATACCTGGATCTGGAACCCGACAGATGTCCACTGCTTATTTCACTGCGCCAACCGTAGTCCCAGAAACGCTTCCTCATGATCTTGCAACCATCATTTCTCGCTTACCGCCTTATCATTTTTATACACTACGCGCTCTTTTTTCACATCTCGCTCGTGTTGATAGTAATAATGACGTGAACAAAATGACTCTTAGTAACCTCGGCCTGATTTTTTGTCCAAGTTTAGGAATAGGTTCAATTCTTTTTAAATCCTTTATATGCCATTTAGATATCGTTTTTGGGAAAGGATGTAATAGTGAAGAAGCAGAAATTGAACTTGAAAAACGAGAACAACAAGTTAAAGAAAAACGAGCACCACAGGTATATCACAAAACTTATATTTCCGAAGATTTTTCAAAAAGTTTTGAAGACTTGTTGATGATTGATAGACATCCTAGTGCAAATAGTTCGAGTAATTCATACCCATCGTCGTCATCTTCTTCCATAAAAGGTTTACCTGTAAATAAGGACGATATTGACACTCATAATAATAATCAAAGCGATTCTATGAAAAATTTTGCTGTAAATAATACATTCTCTAAAATTTCACCACTTTCGTCATCATCATCTATAACAGCACCATCTACACCACCATCAAAAGATTCTAGTAAAGATACAAATAACCAGTTTAATTATGATGAATTTCATGAAAAACGTAATCATTCTTTAGTAGAAAAATTATCAAAAACTTCATCAGTTTTCAGCCCTTCTTTTCGTTTAAGATCTAGTAGTGTTCCACTAAAAGTTATAGAATTATCAGACTTTTCAGAATCTGAGGAAGAACAAAACCTTACTGAAGATGAAGGTTCAAATGAGATAAATTCACCAACTCTCATGTCATTTGATTATTTGGATAGATATGGTACTAAGAAGGGTTTACTAAATTTAACATCAAGAGTATCAAATAACTGGATATCACAACACAATGGTGCTAATGATGGGAAGAATGTTAGAAGACGCCGACCAAGTGTAGAAGAAAGGGAGAAGTGGAAAAAGACACTTGTGACAAGTACTAGCGCTAATGCACCTCCAAATATCACTGAAGATCTGGTAGTAACTAGCGAAGAGGATAAGATGGATGAGGATAAAATGGATGAGGATAAGATGGATGAGGAAAAAATCCCTAGTCAGCTGAATTGACAGCGATAGTACCCGAATCATACATACTCGCGGAAACTCTAATTAATAGTCGATACAACTTACTCGACCTTTGATCCATTTTGTGTACATATTTTTTCATTTCTTTTGTTTCTTTTTTTTTTTTTGGAATATATGATATAGGAGATTCGTATTACCATTTATTATTATTTTTTATTCTCATTTTTATATATTATGCTACTATTATTTATTATTATTACCACTTATGATTTATTTATCTATTTACTTATTTATTTCATAATG